AACTTCTATTAAAAAAGAAATATCGTGTACACAGGAACACGGTTTGTTTTAAAATAATGATGGCGCCTACAACTAATAACACAAGTTAGCCCTAAATAGCAGCACTTATTACGAAAAAACAGGGGTACCCGGTTTGACCTGCCTACTCGGTTTTACCCAACTTTCCCCTATATGTTGGAGGAAAAATGAGAAGGAAAAAATCTTGAAAGATAATGGATAGATGAAAAGAACAGAGAGCGAAAAAAAGATTTTCTCATTGTACACGCACACATGTGCATCACGATAGACGAGGGGAGGAAGACAAAAGTCCTAAAAATGAAATTATTAGCATCGTATATACATACAGATTGTTCGGAGTCAATCGTATCATCCATCGTGTGCAGGTAGAGCAGGTGAAACCGAGAAGAAAAGTCCTTTATCATTTTGCGATTTTCGTAATAATTATTAAGAAATTAATTTAAAAAGATCGACCAATTCATGTGAGTATGAGAATGCGGCGAGAAGAGACAACCCAAAAAAGTATGCGGTCGCTAGGCCCGCGACAAAATTTTGGAAGGAACGCTCTACAAATGACAACGGTTACGAGGAGCGGTACGTGACGCTGGATTCTCGTGCCCAAGCAACCACATATCAATGGGGTCGTCTCTTTTCTCGCCGCGCGCTAATACTCGAGTGAATTGGCCGATCTTTATTAATTAATTTCTCTTTAATTATTGCAAAGATCGCAAAACGGTAGAGGACTTTCCTACTCGGTTTAACCCGTTCTACTTGCACATTATAGATGGGACGATTATTATCAGACACCCTGTATATACGTATATATATATATATGTATATATAATATATGTATAGGGTACCAATTAAAGACCGCCTACTAAGTACATAGCGTTATTCCTTGCCAAAACATGAGTCGAAAAGTCCTGAATTATCTTTTTCTATAACGCTTAATAAAGGAGTAATTATTGAGTAAAGTCAAGCCAATCTTTGGCGCTAACCTTTGGCTGGGCACACGTCGCTAGAGCATGCAATATTCTTATGCATCATAATAATAGAAATAATTTTTTCTTGTACTAAAAATCATATTGCTCCTATCTCTTGAAACACCATACAGAAAATTTCGACAACAGGTAGAATTGTCGCCAAGACATAACTATTCTCAATATAGAGAAGAAGATTTTGACAAATACCAAAAAATAAAGGAGGCCCTCCCTGTGTTTTACAAAAATTATTTTTTAAACAATCCGTTTCTTTAATAAAATCTTTGCGTTAACACTTAAATCTTAAAAGACAGAGACAGGAGGAATATCATTTTTAGTGTAAGAAAAAATTATTTTTATTGTTTTGATGCTTAAGAATATTACATGTTTTAGCGACATACGTGTGCGAAGACATAACACCGCCGCGTCGCTGCGGCGCCGTTATGGCGGAGCGCTTACGCACATTACCATGCGTGCGACTCGCTGACATGCGCCCGCTTAAAGGTCGGCGCTGAATTGTATCAGAGTCCTAATTTACACCAATATACTTTAACACATACTAAATACTATACTGTCCAATCACAGCCATTTCATTCTTTATAGAAATAATTATGATTGGCCAATGTAGTACATATTAAAGCATGATCGGTGTAAAGTAACTCAGGAATTAAGCTGATAAAAATAGATATGGCTCTTGCACAGAGGACGCAGCTATGTTTGCCGCGCGGCAAAAGTGGCTGATGCGGTAGCCAATTTTTCGTTTTTATGTAAAAGTTGTAAGTTGATTGACTACCACATCGCCGCATTTTGTGTGCAGAGCCACAACACATTTTTCTTCAATCTTGTTAGCCGCGTTTTACAATTTTTATATTTGTCTGTAACAGAAACTTAAATACGAGATAGATATGTCATATAGCGGTAAACGAAAGAACTATAACTAGATATAACATATCTTAATATTGCTGTGATTCTGCCATTATTTTATGACAACAGACCATGTTGCGTTTCTGCTGTGTTTTTGCTGTTACTTTTTAAGATGGCAGCGCATGCTTAATTTTTGCAGCATTTCTGCCATCACGCCGTGCTTGCAGATGAACTCGATTTTTGACGATATCCTCGATTTCTGCCGATATAGCATGATGTCATGTTTTATGTTGTCAATTGATGTCAATTTTTATTTAATTTCTATTGATATATTGTGTCAACATATAATGCTTATAATCTAATGTTCTTATGTTAAGAATTTCTGCTTAAATTTTGTAGCATTTTTTATAACATATCATAATGCATAGAATGCTTATATTTTCTGCTGCATTTCTACTGGCACTAACTGAAATGGCAGATTATACGCAGCTGCTGCTGAAGTTCTGCCAAAAAAATTGAAAATTTATACAAAAATTTAAAATTAATACAAATAAAAAAAAATTTAATTAAAAATACTTGGCGTTACTAAACTAAACAATATGCTAAAATTAATGTATTTTTTAATACATTTACATAACAGTTATTGTGATATAACTAAATTAAATGTAATTCTAAATTAAAATTATTGTTTGTTAGTTTTAATATATACTTTAAAAGTTAGTCTAGGTGCCATATTATGCATTTTACTCGTAAAAGAACTTTTTATTTACATGAGTATTCTTTAAATGGAACCCCATTGTCAAAGGTTAACTCTATTCGTGACCTGGGAGTAATTTTTAATTCTGATCTATTCCTCGACAAACATTCTTATGATGACGAGCTGTGCCTCCAAAAAATTAGGCTTTGTTATTCGCTCTTGTAAATACTTTAATAACATAAATACTTTAATAAATACTATAAAATTATTGTTCTGCTTTCTGGTCAAATCACAGCTGGAATATGCCTCCCTTATTTTGGCCCATTATTAAGATAAATACTCTATATATTAATTGAACGCATCCAACATCGCTTTCTCAGGAGAGTTAGTTTTTTTACTGATAAGCTCTTCTTCTGATCACTCTTATAACTTCATTTTGAATAAACTTAATTTGCTAATCTTAAGAAATACAAGAATTTTTTTGGATTTGTTATTTCTTTTTAAATTAATAAATGGCCGCATTAACTGCCCTGACTTATTAGACCATTTAAGACTACATATTCCAGCTAGGCCTCTTAAGAATAATTAATTTTTTGCTGAAGAACAACGTCACAGTTCTTGGAAGTAAGCTGTGTTCAAACCTTTAAATAGAATGTGTTTGAAGGCTAATAAATTGTTAAATCATGTGAATTTCTTTCATATGGACTTAACTTTATTCAAATAACGTGTATTACGCCATTATCTCTTCATTGACACGTATTAATATTTAATATTAATATTTCTTTATTAGTGTCTCTGCTAGAATGTAATACATAATTTGTAATTTTTTTTTTATAATTTTATTTGTTTGTGTTAGACTGTTATTTTATTTATTTTTATTTTTTCTTTTTCTTTTTGTTTTGTATACTCTTATATACACCAAAGAAAAAATTGTTTCCCGTTTATTACAATAAATAATAAACAATATATTGTTGCGTCCGCAGATTGATTTTGTTATATCTCGAAGCGCGCAATACAACCGCCACTCACACACAAACACTTGCGCCAAGAAATGACAAAACTTTTTTATAAAAAAAACTCAATAACTTTAATAATAATTAGGAAATAGAACAAAAACGTGAAACAAGGAATATCGTAATAATTATAGCCGACGGAAAGATGCGCCCACACGATAAGACGATTGTCGTAAGATTCTCCAAGATGGAGACTTTCTACAAATTGTCCGCCCTTGTCGATAAACAATCCTTTTAGTAATGTACTAGGAGATGATCCTCCGGAGAAATGCAGCGTTATATTAAATATCAAAGTTGTTACCAAAGTTCTCGATAACTGCAATATATGATAGTTTGACATCGCACAACTCTAACATCAACCTCCATTTATAACTGTTTTTATCAAAGATATTTTCAAGAGAATCCGATATTCCCCAAGAATCTAGCAAAAAAAAAATAGTAAAAAATTAGAGAAAAAATTATACGCACAAAACAATTAAATTCGTTCGTATATTTTTATTTCATTAATTTTTGTATTCAATTTGATTTTTTTAACCGATTGCCGAGGCAGAAAAAAAACACGCTACGTTGAAAGATACGTCAATTAGTAGAAAATTGATCTCTCTTTTTTTTGAAAAGTTTATCAAAACTCCGGCGACCATGCACAGCGAGTTCTGTTTCTTCCAGGAAAAATTGCGTCATCGTAAACGCATCTAATCTCGCTCACATATTATACAGTTTACATTTGATAATGTAAATTGTAAACCGATGCGTTCCTGAACACGTTCGCGCTAGCGACTTTATTACACAAAGTACTTCAAACACAATTTTTACAACTAGATATCTCGGTAACTAATTATTAAAATATCAATCAAATATATTAAATAGATAAATAAAATAATTATTAATGTAATTAATATATAAATATATATTTATATCTTAAATATATTTATTATTAATAACATAAAAAATTATACTTTTATTAATTGAAATCTATTTAAAATTATTGGAAGATTAACGTCTTGTCAACAGTTAGCTTATTGTTAGTATGCGTAAAGACATCTTTATATTTTTAAGAATATTTTGTGCGTAAAAAATTATTGTGATGCGCATTGACAGAGCTGTTTATTTTTTAGGGTCTCCTTTTGACGACATACCTACCAATCCGAATTCTGAGGAGTCCGAAACGAGCAATGATACTGACCAGTTTAAAAGGTAAAGTCTTTATAATCGCATTTCAGTTGTAACATACTTTATATATACGATGCTTGCCGCATTAATTCTGAATAATGCTCAATTCCTTAGATGATTTATATAAAATGCTAAAACAATACGTATGTGTGGAGCGCTAAAATAATATAAGAATATAATATATATTTATAAAATAATATAATAATATAATATATAATATATTTAAGTATATTATTTTTGAGAATGTTTCACGGTTTGATGCATACATTTAATACATACATAATGTTTTTTTACAGTTCCAATGATATCATCTATGTCGTGATAATCATCGCGACTATAATCGTGAGTGGATTGATATGCTGTCTCTATTGTCGCTTTTGTAACCAAAACAGTTACGGTGGAAGTAAGTTCTTTTTTTGAATTTTTCCTGTATCAATTGTCATTATTCGCAATCTTTTCTAATGTTGAATTTGATATATTCGATAGTATACAATATTTTCCATTATATATGAAACGAATGATTAGAGACAGCAGCAATTCGTAAAAAAGCACTCTTCAAGAGATACCCAAACATATTATAAATTACAAAAATTAAAAAAAAACATACCAAGTACATAAAAAATATCTCAACTTGTACGCAACAAAAAGTTTAAAAAATATTTTTCCCTAAAAAATAAAAAATAAAAATAAAATATTAAATTAATAGTCAACAGCTAGCCAAGTACGTTAGAAGCAAATCAGTTGTGAGGATTTGTAATTTGAAATAGCAGAAATAAATATTTTCTCCGTAAAATTAAAACACATTTTATTTTTACTAAAAGAGAGAGAGAGAGAAACCTGATTTTCAAAATAAATTAAATAAGATCAAAGTGATATACAAAAACTTGGCGTGCCTGGCTCGCATTATAATTCATATATTTTTATTAATAATGAATATTTAAAATCAAGATCGCGAATTATATATCTGAAATAAAAATTTATAAAATATTATCAATATAAATATATGAGTTATAATGCGACCCGGGCACGCCAAGTTTTTTATATTGCTTTGGTCTTATTTAACTTATTTCAAAAATCAGATTTCCCTCTTTTAAAATAAAATACGTTAATATAAATAAAAGATTGTTTTTAAAATGTTATAATTTTTGAAAATTATATATATTTTTGTAAAAATTAATAATTTTGTATCTCGAAAAAAATGTTTTTTTGATTTTAAAGCGTTCTTAATATATCTGTAATAGAGAATTTCGAATTAATAAAATTCATAATTCTAGAAAGATTTAATTAATTAATTTTTTATTAATATGTGTTACATATTATAAAGAATTGGATTATTTAAGTTTTTATATTCGTTTTGAAATAAATTAGTTTTATTAAAGCTTTAAATAAAATAAATACAGTATAATAACTTTGACATATTTTATATATTTAGATTTCTTCACTTATTTTAAAGATATTTCCTAGTAGCAAAAATTTTTTATTATTGAGTAATATTTGAAAGCTTTGTTATTAATCTTAAACAAAATTTTTAAAATAGTGATTAATAAGTCAAACAATTTCCAAACATTACCATCTAAAATTTGGAATTTATTAATTTTCTTTAGCTGTACCCCAATATAACAGCTGTAATTCTTCATCACTTTCTCTCTTTGCAGGTATCGCATTTTCTTGCAATGAAGTCAAATGTTCATTTGATATTTTCAAACCAAGAAGACATGATCGACTTCTAAATGAGGAGCAAGAAGTTTCTTTAGACTTAGAACCTCAGGACACATCAACATCCTTATAAAGTTACGGTAACCTTAAATTGTAAGATGGTAACATTCCACGGAGATTAATAAATCTGCCATTAGCCTCCCAGTGAAAACATGAAAATGTTTATTTAAATTCATTTCATTAACATCCTAGGGATCTTGTAGGGCAACATTGTATTAATATTTATATAATATGCTAAGAATTTTCTCCTTTACAAAAAAATACCCAATTTTGGATGTAAAAAATACCCTTAAAAAAACCCTCAAAAGTTTGGTGTAAATTTGAATCGTCAATTACCGATTAACACTGAAATGAGAATTAAGAACTTTCGAAAAGAACTTTCCAATTGAGATACTTTCAAATAAGCGTAATCTCGAAATGAATAATTAATTCGTAAAAATCAAAATTTTATTTATATGAATATTAGACTTTATTTTATATTTTAAGTAAATAATAAATGGATAATTTTAACTTTTTCTGACATTTTTCCGATTTCTAAATCAGTCTAATATATACCCAGTAAACACTGTTTATTGCAATAATATAATGTGGCAGTAACAAATAATATTATATAACACAAGTTATTTATATGATATATAATTGAAATATATCATATGTGTTACTATGTAATGTTACAATGGTTACTGTATTAAATATTACTGCAATTTAACATTGTTATCTTAGTATTATATAAACTTTTTCTATATTTAATATATAATTTGGTTATACAATAATATAACGTGGAAGTAACAAATGTTATATATTTCAACATTACAACAGTAATATAACAGAATATCATTGCAATATAATATTGCTATATACATGTTCCTTCGCTTGCCGCTACACGGCGAAACCAGACTTAACTAACTCGTATTCAAGTTTTTGCTATAAAATGCATATAAAGCTCACAAAAGACGGATACTAACTTAAGATACAAAATATATCTTTTCTTTAACAGTTTAATTTCTGATACAATTCCAATAAGGGATCCAGAATATTAAACAGATTATTTAAGATTGGGCGGGTAAATGGGAAATAGTCCATGTACTGCCTATTTGAAGTAAAAAATCTAATTTTTATAAAAATTAAATCGCAAGTTTTATAAATTAAATACATATAAATTATTTTTTTATTTATTTAATTACCAGATCTATGGTGGATTCTATATGAACCAATTCTATATGGAGTATTACTACGCTATAACAATTAACGGTATAACAAATGTTATATTTATGAGTGGGAAATTACAATTAACCAGTAACTTATTAGTAATATTTATGTATATTACTTATAACATTCCGTTTTATTGCTCTTATATAATATTAATGTTACAAATAATATACATAAGTATTACCGGTAAGTTATTGGTTTATTGTAATTTCCCTCTGATAAATGTAACATGTAATGTAACATATGTTATACCGTTGTTATATCGTAGTTGTTATACTCCATATATATAGAATTGATTCATATAGAATCGATCATAGATTTGCTGATTAAATAAATAAGTAAATAAAATAATTTATATTAATTTAATTTATAAATCTCGCGATTTAATTTTTTGATTCACCTTCAGCATGGATATAAATTACATGGATATTATGTAAAAATTAAATTGGAATTTTAAAATCTGATATGCACAACATTTGTTATTGCAGTTAAATTTCAAATTAAAATTAATCAGAAAGAAAAATTCACTAAAACCCTTGTCGATGGTTTACAATTTAATGATTGTAACAACAAATGTTGTGCATGTTAGCTTTTAAAATTCCAATTTAATTTTTACATATTTATATCCATACTGAAGATAGACCAAAAAACAGTCCAAAACGTACATTTTTAATGCACATTTGTTAATAAAATTTAACAATAATAATTCGCGTACCAATACCCTTGGCTCTTATCTGCCAGTATTCCCATTTAATTCTCTGTTTTTATATATTTAGCGGATGTCAACTTAACAAAATTATTTAACTTAATAACATTTTTTTATAATATAGTTATTGTAGAACATAATGATATTTCTGAAACTTTTAAGTATTTGTTTATTTTCGAAATGTTCGATCTTGTATAATATTATACAATATATTTTATATACATTAGCATTCGTATATTCGTATATTGCAGTTTCACAATATTTTGTATTTTGTTTATATTTCAAGAATTATGATTGAGCTCTAAATTTGATATTATATTTATTGAGAATGACTTTTAATAATAAGGTTTTAATAAAGTAACACAAAATTAATTTTACTGCATTATCTTCTCGATGCTTGAAAATCGTTGCTTTTATTCTTACCTCGACAAACCTTAAGACCTAAAAAAGTTAGAAAAAGAAAGGACTTGAAAGGTTGTTTATTAAATATTATAATCATGTAAATCTATTTTATATGTTTTCATATTTTATAAGAATATGTATCTGAAAAATTAATTATATAATGACATATAATTATTTTTTGTTTATGAATATTATATTTATTCTTTTTGAATTTCATCTATTAAAGCTATATATTTAATAGATAGTATATATCTATCTCATGGAAATTCTGATCAATTAATTAAATTGTTTCTTTTTCTGTTTATATCATTGGGAATATGCGCTCTAGTACAGTATACTACCAATCTAACTTAAATATAAACAAATTCTTATATACAGTACACGCATATAATAATGTCTGTGGCCCATAAATTTTTCTTGATATAAAATTATAATATTTTTCGAATTTAATTAGACGTCTGCAAATTACTTTAATACTGTGAGCGAAATTACATACGTAAATCTTCAGTTGTCTGAAAATGCGCATACTGGTGCATATAAAGATTTACGATTCTCTCGAAAACTTGAATTAGTGCATAAATGTGAATCCGTAATCTGATAATCTGTATTATTATCGTGCGTGAGTAATAGAGGATCGACGAGGAATACAGATGACCGTAGAAGCGCGTATTGTATCGCATGCAAATATCTCTCGAGCGAGTTATACAATACAATTGGTAATGTGCTCGATCGATCGAATTACTCGTTATAATCCGCGGGAATTCGTGGGATGAGGATTTGACGGACGCAGGAAAATGACTGAATCATTTCATGTCGGTATAAATCCATCCCAAAAATCCCTTCATCTCGCAGAATCGTATAATGTCATGGCTTTCGCATGACATAACAGCCATTTTCTTCCTCATATAAATTCCAGGAAGAAGAATGCGCAAACATTTCTAATCGCTGAATCGTGTGCATGATAAAAATGTTATTACGTTAATGGAACATTTAAATGTCAAGTTTTGGAAATAACCAAAATTAATTTCTTGCTCTCAGTAATTTTCAATCAAAAATTCCCACGCATTTAACTACGAAATAATCGCGCCTGATACTAATATTTCAGTTTAATGTTAATTGATATTGATTGTTACAGAGAGAGAGAGAGAGAGAAAGAGAGAGAGAGAGAGAAAGAAAGAAATACATATTTATCGGATACTTTTCTAGATGATGACTTGCTTGATTTGCGTGGGAAACATGTCCTTAATTGGGGGTGAATCTTTACGCTTGGTACCTGCGCGATCCTGCAGGATATCCTGCGGACATTCCGGGACACAGGGCGCGCACGCTTTCCACACAAGTGTATGTGCTGTCCGCGCTCACACAACTTTCTCTCTCTCTCTCTCTCTCTCTCTTTGCATGGTCAGGTTATTAAAAATAGCCCAGGGGTATTATTGACCCGCGCGTCACAACTTGGGTTACAGTCTTTCCGGTTGACCGGCTTAGTATCAAGCTATGTTACAGAGAGAGAGAGAGAGAGAGAGAGAGAAAGAGAGAGAGAGAGAAAGAAAGAAATACATATTTATCGGACACTTTTCTAGATGATGACTTGCTTGATTTGCGTGGGAAACATGTCCTTAATTGGGGGTGAATCTTTACGCTTGGTACCTGCGCGATCCTGCAGGATATCCTGCGGACATTCCGGGACACAGGGCGCGCACGCTTTCCACACAAGTGTATGTGCTGTCCGCGCTCACACAACTTTCTCTCTCTCTCTCTCTCTTTGCATGGTCAGGTTATTAAAAATAGCCCAGGGGTATTATTGACCCGCGCGTCACAACTTGGGTTACAGTCTTTCCGGTTGACCGGCTTAGTATCAAGCTATAGCTCGTCTCTCTAACGCGAAGCGCATTACAAGCTGCGAGATGGCGATTACCAGCTATACCGATTTCTATTTCATTTTCTGCGGTGGCTTCCTCTCTTAAACGCGGCTTAATCCATATTTCTGCGTTTTCCGCAGGGGAGAAACCGCGATCGATGGGGTGAACGGGTATGGTCGGTTCTCGAGTAAGTTACTCGTCGGTCCAAATGAAACTCGGCAGATGAAGCCCGCATGAATTCGTGGCATTATCGTCAAATATGATCGCATGACATTGTTCTATCATCGTGACACGCGCGGCCAGTCCTCTCTTATTGTTAGTGAAATTCCATGTCATTGATTTTATTATCATTCTGCCATTCGTATTGTATAAAGTCTGTCTTTATCTAAAGATAGATTTTTTTCCCTAATTTCTTTCTTTAAATATGTTTTAGGCACGCGTTCAACAAGTAAATGCAGTTCTCGAAAATTGCATCATTGACAGATGTCAGTTGTAAAATTATGTACCTGTAATTTTTGTGGCTGTATATATACATTTTTATATTTAAGAAAATATTTGAAGAGATTACTATCGAAATTAGACGTTTTAAAAAACATTTTAAATGCATAATAAAAATTGTTAAAGAAGCAGTTAAAATATCGGAAAACGAAAGAATAATAATGAAGGATATCTCGCAGTTAAAGTAACACCAACATGGATGAATAAAGTTTTTAATTAAAATATAAATATTTATAAGATCTCAATATGTGTCTCAAAGAAATTAGATATAAATCGCACGCGCGTGCGACTTTCATAGCCCGTCCCCTTGGAAGCCGCGATTGTAGCAGGCCGTGACGTGTCAAGAATACGAGAGCGTCTGACACGATCTGACACTGGACGGCGTCTGACACTTGGACCACCGTTCGCGGCGAACAGCTGATCAACGAACGAGCGCGTCGTGCATTTCCGCGGGCGAGTCGAAAAGAGCCGAGTGACGCGAGATGATACTGTTCCGAAACGGCGTAAAGTTGTCCGCGTATGCATGCTAAACCGCGGATAGAATCGTCCACCCGCAGGGCTTGATCTCCTGCGTCCCGGTTTTCGGTCCAGCGCGATCGAGCATCCGTGCTACATAGATAAGGGAGAAGAAAGGAGAAAGGGGAAGAGACACGCGCGCGAAAGTCTGGTTAAGCGGGTGGGGTAGCCGCCATCATCTCCCCCTCCCCACTCCGCCTCTCTTGCTGGGAACATTTCCTACAGGAAAGAGAATAGGGAGGAATACGATCTGGACACCTATAGGAAGGAAGGAAGGAAGGAAGGAAGTGAGCAAGAAAGGGGAAATATATCGCACGCGCTTTTTTTTCTTTCCCATCCTTCGCCACCCTCCTCGTCGATCTCGCCGCCAGCCGCCACCGCCGCGTGCGGCTCGCGGGTCTCGTGGCGGCCGCCGCCGCCGCCGTTGGTCGGATGTCGATATTCGAGTGCGCGGCGCAGGCTGAGCAGTGTCGAGCCGCTGCGCCGAGAGTCTAAAATTATCAGGTAGTCCGCGCGCGCGGCTTTGACGTTACAAGGCGGGGGAAGGGAGAGAGAAGGGAAAGAACAGAGAGGCGCAGCGTTCACGGTGTTCGCTCCGCGAAACGGACAAGGATAGTCCGCGACATGAGAAAGAGAGGGCAGATCGCGGGATAGAGCGATACGATGCGCGACAGCTAATCCAGCGCAGGGACGACGGACGACGGACGGATCGTGGAGACGAGGAAAACGTGAGGTGGTAGAGATAGTGGGAGCGAGCATGTAGGGGAAGAAAGAGGGAGAGAGAAAATCGTTGAGGAGCGAGAGAAAGAAGTGTGTCGAGAGAGAGAACTAGCGTGAAAGGAGAGAAGTGGGCGTCGGACAAGGAGTTCTCTCGACCGACAGAGGGAGCGAGCGAGCGGAAGAGAGACAGCGTGACACACGATATAATACAAGTGTAGTAATCGCTGGTACAAATGTAAAATAGAAGTGAGAGGGGGAGAAAAGGAGAAGGTGCGTATTTCACAGAAGTAAAATAGAGAGAGAGAGAGAGAGGGAAACTAGTTAAGTAGAGTCGATGCCGGGCAAGCACGGGGTGCGCGAGAGAGAAAGCTAACGTGCGCTATATAAAGTGAGCGACACAGTGGAAGAGAGAGAAGGAGAGATTCCCGCGCGAAGTTGGAACGAGACGGGATAGAGCGAAAGCGCAGCGTCTGGTGGAACTGCGAGAGAGAGAGAGAGACGACGTCGTCGTGAGATCAAGTGCGGGAGGAGGACCGCCACACAGTAGGAGAAGTACGCTACCTAGCCTAGTACCTAGGCTCGCGTTGGACGTCGTGGGGCACGCTGGACAGCTCGAGCGAACCGCGCGCGCTGACGTCGACAGAGAGCGTTAAATCGTTCCGTCATCTCTCTCGCTCTCTCTCTGCCCCCTCCATCCCACCTCACTCTCCCCTCGCTCCCTTCTCCGTCGTCCGTCAAGCATCGCGCGCGCGAGACATACCGTCGTCGGTCGGTGCGCCGTGTGACAGCTTCCGCGCGCGGTCTTCTCTCTGTGCCAGTTCGATCGTCGTCTGTCGTCGTCGTCGTTCTTGTCGTCGACAACGTCTCGCGTTCCTCGAAAGCGGAATCGCGCGCGCGGGCAACCAAGTGCCGAGAGGTAGAAGAACGCGGAACCGCGGACTCTGCTCGAGGTTCCGGAGAGGCCGGCGTCCCCGGCGACGAGCCGTTCGCGTGTAGCTCGGGGCATCATCGACGTCGATTGATTGTCGATCGGTCAGCACCTAGTAGCAGCATCAGCGGCGGCGGCACCATGGCGGACGATCCGGAGAACAACACGTGCGAGGACTCCTTCGGGATCGACTCCAACACCTATTTTGCCAACAAGTTGCGGGGCCGGAAGGGCGCTCTCAAGAAGAAGAATATCTATATGGTCAAGAATCATAGCTTCATGCCAAGGTTCTTCAAGCAGCCCACCTTCTGTAGCCACTGCAAGGACTTCATATGGTGAGTAGTATATATGTATGACACTATATTGTGAACTTTTCGTAAACTTCGATCGTCCAGCGCGACGCGTCAGTTACTTCCTGTTGCTTAATATCGAATGCATCAAGATGCGTTGATTGACTCATTGAATTTTTTCTTCTTTTATATCTACGATACATCGTACTACGCGATGAATCATTGACTAGAATCGATTAATTTTTAAAAGAGAGACGAGACATTTTTAAAGGATACAATGTATTAGTTCGAGAAAAAAAAATCTATACTGAAATGCAAAAAAAAAAAATTCTGTTCCAAAGATATCGCTTTAAATGATAAAATGATCCAGATACGATTGGCCGAATTCGCATCTTTCTTAGATTCACCGCGTAACCATGCTTGCATGCTACTATTCGTATTTTCGGCTTTTCGACTCTGTTATGATTCGTTACTATCATTAGCCTTTTATTATTCGCGAGCGCATTTTCTCGAAAATACAGAGCTGGCATAGAGCTTTTGCTCTCCATACGTAAACGTATCTATGCGTCGGATGCGTTCCAGTAACGATCGAGTTTGCATCCCCGGGAGAAGAGCAGGTGAACGCCTCGGGGGGGAAGCTCATCACGAGGGAATGGCTTGGATAGGCCTGTTTGACTAACAAGAAATGTTTATAAACTCTTTCCTGTTGATTTCGTGATCCCGGATAATTTAAATATTTATAATTTCGACACGACATGTTGTTTCTAATGACATTTAAATTTACGAGTTAAATTCTTTCAAGTTATTCCCGGTTTAAACTATAAAAATTTAATATAAGCTACAACAATTTTTAAAAACAAGGAAATTAAAATTATTTTGTCAAATTTTGAATGGTTGGTTGTTTTCTATTCTTTTTTTAATATTTTATATATATATCAAATATTAAAANNNNCGACGCTCTAATCTCGTTTATTTATTCTTCTTTGGCTGTGTTAATCGCAAGTTTTAACGGTATTATATGCAATGAAAGAGATTAATAATCTCTATCGAGTGGAATATGGAACGATATGCTATCCTCACTCAACAATTAACTGACAATGAGTATCCCTACTCAATTAACATCGATGTACAGTTCGTGTAGAGAGACATCGCTTAATATCTCGTTCTTTTTTTTTTTTTTTTGATATTTTTACGCTGTGTGCGTTGTATAGGATATTTCCTCTTTTGTCAAAATCGCATGTGAAAATTTTCAGTATCGTAAAATCGTATTCAGGGTGTTCATGACATGACGGAGGAAAAATGCAGGAGAGCCCTCGCTTCGCTGTCTCTCTCTCTTTATTAGATCGTTAATCTGCTTTTGTGCATGCCGCTTCTAGCTATCTTCGGACCTTTGGTGGCATATTGATAATGGAGTTTGGGGTTAATTATAAGTAGAGACACTCAACTCCCTCAGGGCGATGCTGCCTTTTTCCGGCAACCTCGCCCAAATTTTGCAATTTAATAAAATTAATCCGGGCTGTTGTTTTTTTTTTTTTTTTTTCGGTTGCGATCCTTAACAAAATATATACACATATGTATATCGTCTACTAATTTAAAAAAATAGAAAATATATATAAATTTTTTTCGCAAATTCCTTAAAGATGAAATAATTTTTTATATATAGATATTGATTTCTGCATCGCGATTCATCGGTTCGTCAAAGGCGCCCTGTTTACCCGAAACTTCGTTCATCTTTTCGTAAATGTTTACGGGACTAATGGGGCTGATGTGTGTGTGTGTGTGTTGTAACAACTCCTTCCGCGTCACGACGAGACACCGGTCATCTTCGTCTCTCCGTCGTGTGGCGGACACAGATCCATAAATTCAGTCAATAATCCGGCTCTCCGGGCCGGCCGGTCGGTCGAGCGGAGCGGCCAATAGTTAAACGCTCCGGCCTTGACGCACTCGCGCCGTTCTTCCTCTATCCGTCCGAATTAGAAACCACTCTACCGTGATACGAGAAGCGACGACGCCGCTTGGGTGGGAAGTGCGCGCGCGTACGTTTTTACGGATGCGTGCGTGCGTACGTACGTGCGTGCGTGCGTGCGTGCGCGCGTGCCAACCTGTCATGGAGCGCGCACGTTTCGACAGAGGAACCCTCGGGCTCACCCTCTTTCGATATCGCACTGATGAGAAAATTTGGGGTCCGTTTTGGTAACAAGATACAATTGGGTCGTTCGGTGTACACGATTGATGTGGAATTTATTCTCGTCGCTTTCGGAAATGGAACATTTCGCATTTAGTCATAATCGTGAATTTCCCAGCTCTATTAAAGTAATTTTCAACTCGTTGTAGAATTATAATAGTGACGTAATTTTACAATGAGACTCAAATTATTACGCCACTTTAATTAGTGAGCAGGGAATACAATACTAAAGTGCGATTTATCTCGCATATATCCGAGTTCTCGAATTTATGAATCTCAAATTTATGGATTTTTGAATTTTCATTTATTATTTAAATAGCTTACACATAATTTTGTAACGTTTATTATTTTATAACGCTATTATTTGAATCCTTAATTCTTATATATTCTACCTTATGATTCTCTCATATTTAATTCTAATGTGATAGAATTTTATTCAGCATAAAAATCTCAAGTCTCTAGAGTTTTTTGCGGAGTATTTTATTTTTTTATATATGCGAAGGAAAAAAGGTAGAATGGCACAAATAACATGAAGCAGAAATAATTTGCATGTGTATCATCTAAATATTCGTGTGAGCAGCAATTTGAAATTTCGTTGACACGATCACTATCGATCTCAGAGCTCTCTCTTTTAAAACATAAATTATTTGAAGGATTAAAAACGATTAAAAACGATTGATCTATCCTTTTAAATCTTTTCTATTTCAAATATCTATAGAACATTGGTGACATCCATGACATTGGTTCAAGGTATTCGTTTCATGATATAGATACGATATATTACGCGTTGACGTCTGCGACGTCAAAACAGATAGGAAATACCCATTTGGACATTCTATATCATATCAATATTCGTAACGACAACGACCAAAACTATTCATCGTATCTTGCGGATAGGAAAATTGATGACCGACTATTTTTGTTAGATTATCGACATTTTTTATTCATAAAATTTCAGGGTGAATCACTAAAAATGTTACGGGCTAATATTTTTAAAACTGAACGAAATATGAAATCCTCATTTTAAAATTATTAATTTTGCATGTTAACTGTAGTGCGAAGTTTCATTTTTCCGTCGAATGTCCGCTTCGATACCAAACAGTCGCTGGAAAGTAAGAATTTCATATCTTGTTCAGTTTCAGAAATATTAGCCTGTAACATTTTTAGTGATTCAGTCTGTATATGTATCTACATATATTTATATGCTCGCATAAACTTATTAACCAATTTTTTCATTGCGATATATATATTAATTTTACAACAAAAAGTCGAAATAATTTTTAACTTAATCACCGTTTAAATCACACTGTTAATCATAAGATTCTCGAAAAATAATGATCGATTCTTCTCTGCGATTAATTTTAGCCACTGATTTGCGCATTCGTCGAATTCGCAAAATGATATCTTTCTTTGTCTCGTCGCTAAACTCGCTCGATATTCGAAACAAGGCTATCAACTGGACGTCTCGATTCGTATGTGAAGACATGTTGCGATAAAAACTCATGACATTGCGTCTGGCATGATGTATCGACGATTGTCGATAACATTTCGTGACCAACGAACCTGATGAATGATGACACGCACCGTCAAATTTGTTGCATGATGTTCCGCGAGGCGCGTGCATCATGATAGCGAAATGCATTTTGCGACGATGCAACATATCCCGGGTCGCTCCCGTCGTACGCTTGCACCCCTGCGTCGGTCTTTTCGACCAGTCTGCACTGTCGCTCGTATGTGTGCCCGGTGTCCATGCTCGGGTCAGGTATGCGTTATTGATATTGAGATCAAAATATAATTTTAAAGTAAAAAAAAAAAAAAAATAAAAACTATATTTTCGCGCACACACACGTCTGTCTTTTCGAGGATAATTTTAAATAAAGAAGAAAGATATTATTGTAACGTGTTTCTTTATTAGAAAAAAAAAAAAAAATATTTCTATGGTATCAGTGTAATTAATACGAAGAATCTTGCAGGTTTTCTTTATCTTGCAAAATTATCTAAAAAAGTATTTTTTTTATCTACTATATGTTAATATTGAAGACTAAATATAGGGTTTGCCAGAATTCTCAACTGTAATTTGTCTCCTTCTCTTCTGGATGATTGTCCTTTTGGGACATAATATATATGCTTCCCTTTTTTTTCCTTCCCTTTTCAATATTTTATTTCAATTTCTACAGAAACTTTAAAAAATTGTTATAGTCGATAATATTTCATATTGTCATGTCTCAACTATTTATATTTGTTACATTATTAACAATAAAATCAGTAAATCGGTAAATTTGTACTATTTTTTGTGTAGGATGGAATAATAATTTAAAAAAATTTAACGATTGTTTTATTACTTATTGAACATTTTATTGTATACTACGGTTATCTCTAATAAAAATCAAAGTGAAAAAATTTATAATTATTGTAATCGATTCTTTTTCCGAAATTTATAAATTCCGTAGCATAAAAATTCATGAATCGTTATTGCGGAAGCAATATTTTGACGATGACTTATTAACTTTATTCATATCTTATTTCTAGATCTTATTTTTATCTTTTCTACATACTTCTCACTGACACGAAATGAGTAATTCTAATTAGGCGCATTGTAATGAAGGTAATAACGGAGTTCGCGATATCGCGTGCGCGGAGAAGAGCTACGTGGCTAGAATTAATTCTTTGTCGACGTTGCGTAACGTTTCGCTAACGAAGCTACGGATATTGGCAAACGGACTATGCATTACGTAAAAAAGGGAATGGCAGATTAATAGAACCGGTCGGGGCAGATTTATGCCTGTAACCTTCTATTCGGATTCAGCGTCTTTGGCCAATTCCGTATTTCTCGGGGCTCGCGAATCTTATTATCCCGACA